GAGGAGGTGATAGTGAGTATGTGATGATGTGGTGAATTCTCTTCTGATTGGTTTTGTCGTTATGATGATGTTGTAGAAGTTAGTGATGACTGTGTGATGCGAATCGTCTGTGAGGTGAATTGGCAAGTGATGGTTCTATAGTTATGGTGACTGCGTGGTATAGTGATCGTGTGATGATGATGGTGAAGCGAACTGCCTCGTGGATAGACTTAAGGTTATGTTGGTGTGATAAATATGTGGTGATTAGGTGTTGAAATGTTGATGTTATGGTGATGATGGTGAACTTAACGACAGCGGTGATGGTGATCTTAGACAAGAGGCGCAGAAAGAGAGAGTGAGCAAGATAAATACACTAAGAATGGTGAAAATATGGTGATGATAGTGATGCATTTACTACGACCTTTCAGACCTTTTACGTTATCTGATACGAAACATAATGACAGTATACTAGTGTTAGAAACGAGAGATAAACTAAATACAGTGCTAAGGATAATAATATGAGTCATAGAAGTCACTATCTTAATGATTAGCGAAATAGTAGTCAACGGGAGTTTATGTAGTGAAAGTAAAATGTCGGTGGCAATTTCTTTTTTTTAAAGAGAAAGGAAATGTCGGAGTTTAAGCAAATGTTTGATATTTTTCTTCTTTATCTGTACGTCACTATGATGATGCGATCATGATGAAATGTTATTGTGATATGATTTAGTCGACTGAACTCTGGTAACGAATTATTTACTTATTATTTTCTGGTAACGAATTATTTGTTTATTATTTTTCTTTACTTATTATTTTCGGTGTCGATCTGTGATCACGTTTGAGATGAGAAGAGGACGATTTTATATAATTTGATTATTGTTCTTCTGTTCTTCTTCGGATAACAATAACCTCAAAATAGTAATTATCAAATAATTCTCACCCAACTAAAAAGAAAAAAAAAATTCCGCCTTTTTTTCCTGCTGTCCGCCTCGTGTCAACTCCCCCCCCCTCCCACCCTATCTTTAGCTCCACCACGCCGGAGACGCTTAGACAAGTTTTTTTTTCTTCTGTCGCTTTTTTGTGTCATCCGCGGAATATGTTATTAGTAATGTATACTATAATTGCCGAAGCTGACACACTTATCTGGCCAGTCGGTCGGGTAAAGTTCCTCCTGGCGGGGTTATCTTTGCGAGGCAGTCACCTGTTGCCTACGACCAGTTCCTCATTGTTTGTTACCTGTGATTAGCCTGCTGTTACCTGGTGATTTGGTGCTTGTGGCCTGTTACGTTGCTTATTGCCCCCTTGCTTCTGCTTGTGAATTATGGCCTGATAATCACTGCCTCTTGGGACTCGTTTGCCGGCGGATATCTCCCGGCTGGGTGACTCCGCGGCCCTAATGCTAGTGTCAACTGTATTCCTCCGCGGCGAAGAATCTTTTGTTATTTTGATTATTGCTTTTCGGTTTTTCGTTCCATTGGCTGGCTGCAGTGCGTGGGGAGCCCTTGGACATTTCTACTGGCTGGTGTGAGCTCATTTTCCGCTGTTCTTGTTGACATTACTCTGAAATTCGTGGCGTGGAAAGATGTAAGGCGAGATTTTCGTTTTGAGAGCAAGGATTTGAAAAAAAAAAAAAAATTGATATCAAGATCTCTCTCTCTCTCTCTCTCTCTCTCTCTCTCTCTCTCTCTCTCTCTCTCTCTCTCTCCTCCTCTCTCTCTCTCTCTCTCTCTCTCTCTCTCTCTCTCTCTCTCTCTCTTCTCTCCTCTCTCTCTCTCTCTCTCTCTCTCTATCTCTCTCTCTTCTCTCTCTCCTCTCTCTCTCTCTCTCTCTCTTCTTTCTCTCTCTCTCCTCTCTCCTTCTCTCCCCTCCCTCTCCCTCTCCTCTCTCCTCTCTCCCTTCCTCCTCTATCTATCTATGCCTCCCTCGCTCTCTCATTCCCTAGCTTCGTCTCTCTCTCTCTCCTCCCTCCTTCCCTTTTCCCTTTTGCCTCTCTCTCTCTCCCTCTCTTCCCCCCCCCTCGTCCCCTCACTCCCCTTCTCTCTTCTCTCTCCTCTCGTCTCTCTCTCTCTCTCTTCTCCTTCCCTCCTCCCTACTCCTCCTCTCTCATTCCCAAAAGTAACTTAGCGAACAGCAATCACTGCATATGTAATATCCTAGACTCTACGTATTCCTTATAAGGATTAGATCATGTTTGTCATTCGTGCCTTCAGATTGGCTTGACAGGTAAAGGTGTTAATACTTCATGTTGTCACAGTGTACTAATGCATACCTTTGTATATTCCCCCGACCCTATGCATTTATTCATGTTGAAAGTTATGTATGTATGCGGTCTGTTGGTGCACATATATGCATGTAAATGTTGTCTTGTTACATTTACATTGCATTTACATTTACGGTCTCCTTGTTACACTTACAGATGCATGTCACTTGTCAGTCTTTTTGTTCTGTGGCATTCGTATGGTCTTGTCAAAAAAGGAGGGGGGGGGTTTCTTTTTTTCATTTCTTTGTTTGTTCTTTTCGTTTTTTTTCTAGTTTTAATGTTTGTTATTATTGTTATTTATATCATCATCATCATCAATCATCATACCACTGTTTTATTGTTATTATCGTTTTTTATTCATTTTTATTTTCTATTACTATCATTATCGTTCATCGTCATCATCATCGTCGTCGTTGTCGTCATCATCATCAACATCATCATCATCATCATCATTTATTATTTTTGTTTTCATTATTTCATCATCATTATTATCATTTCCAATAAAATCATTATCATTATCTAATACCAATGATATTTCGCAAGTCACAGATTGTCACTCCAAGGACATTAAAGATAAAGTTGACACTAATTGCACTAAAATGTAATTTAAAAAAAAAAAACACCTTTTGAAGGATAAACTGGCCGAGAGTCTAGCAATTTTCACCCCTTTAGCTCAGAAGAAAGTGTCCTTGGCTTGAAGAAGGTGAAAAAAAATGAGTTAGAGAGTTTAACATTGTCTGTGCGGAGGTGTTTCGTAGACGTGATAATGAGAGGATTAATCTCTTGTCTCTTTGTCTCTTTCTCTCTTTCTGTGTTTCTTTGTGTGTCTCTCTCTCGCTTGATCGCCCGCTTGGTCTCTCTCTCTCTGTCTCTCTGGTTTCTTTGTCTCTCTCTCTCTCGCTCGCTCGATCGGCTTCTCTCTTCTCTCTCTCTCTCTCTCTCTCTCTCCTCTCTCTCTCTCTCTCTCTCTCTCTCTCTCTCTCTCTCTCTCTCTCTCTCTCCCTTCCTCCTCCACTCTCTCTCTCTCTCTCCTCTCTCTCTCTCTCTCTCTCTCTCTCTTCTCTCTCTCCCTCCCTCCTCTCTCTCTCTCTCTCTCTCTCTCTCTCTCTCTCTCTCTCTCTCTCTCTCTCTCTCTCTCTCTCTCTCTCTCTCTCTCTCTCTCTCTCTCTCTCTCTCTCTCTCTTCTCTCGCTCTTTCTCTCTCTTTCCTTCATCCTCTCAGCTCCCTCCCTCCTCCTTCTCCTTCTCCCTCACCCACACCACGTGACATCACTGCAACCCTCCACAACCACGCCCACATTTTCTGACGTCACACCAACCCGTCCCACGACCACGCCCATGCCCAGAGCTCATAAATTCCCCTACCCCGAGTCAACAGACTTAATCCCCGGCCAAGGAAAGAAAAAGGACCGCCACGCGCTTAGCCACCCCTGTCGGCGCGACGGAGAAAGCCAACGCGCCGTTTTCTGTTCTCTTTTTTTCACTTTTTTTGCGGTTTTCTTTTTGTTTGTTTGCTTGTTTGTTCTCTTTTTTCTCTCTCTTCGTTGTGATTATTTTTCTCGAGTTCTTCGGGCTCTACTTCTTATCTTATTTCTTACTCCTCATTTTCTTTCTCATTCTCTTCCTCCTCCTCGTCTTTCTCTATATCTTTTTATCTCACTTCCCTTTCCTCTTCTTCCGCTTCCTTCTTCTCTTCTTGCTCTTCTTCTTCATTCTCCTCCTTCTTCTCTTCCACTTCCTATGTCTTTTCTTCCTCCTCCTCCTCTTTCTTTTCCTCTTCCTATTCTTCTCCTCTTTTTCATCTACCTCCTGCTCCTCTTCCTTTCTTTCTTCATTTTCCTCTTCCTCATCTTCCTTTTCCTCATTGTCTTCTTCCTCCTCTTCTCTTCCTATTCCTCTTTTCCCTCTTCCTCGTTCTTTTCCTTTTACTCCTCCTCTTCCTCTTCCTCCTCCACCTCTTCTTCCTTTTCTTTTTCTTCCTCCACCTCCCCCTCCTCCTTTTCTTTCTCCTCCACCTTCTCCTTTTCTTTCTTTCTTCCTTCTAAGCGCATTTTCAATACTCTTTCTTTCAGCATTTTCCTGTAATGTGAACCTGAAAATTACTCCCTCCTTCCTTCCCTCTCTTCCCTCCTTCTCCCACCCTTCTTTCTTACTTCTCCATTCATCTCCTTTCTCCCTCTTTCTCCCTTCCTACTCCTTCCCTCTCCCGTATTCTCTGCTTATTTTTTTTCTTTTATCTTTCCTTCTCCCTCTTTCTCCTTACAGTCTTCCCTTATTTTCTCCACTTTCTCCTCACCTCCTTCCTTCTCCCTTCTTCCGTTTCCCTGTCTGTCTCACACACTCCTTCTCTTTCCTTCCCCACCCACGTTCTCTCTCTCCTCTCCCCCTTTTTCTCCCTCATTTTCTCTTCTCATTCCCTTCCTCTTTCTCCTTCTCCCTCCACCTTCCCTATTTCTCTCCTCTCTCCCTCTTTATAAAATGTATTGACCTAGAAAAGGTGATAACATATATCAGTTCTGGTGAGGCAAGAAAAATACCACTATAACGGCTTCACTCTTTCGGCCGGTTTGTGAGACCCAAAGCATATTCGTATACTTGATATGCATAAATAAAGAAATAAATGCATACTTATCAGTCTAGACATGCATATCAACCCGGCAAATATATAGTTAAATGTATATCTATCGGGTATATAGACAGATATGCCTTTATTTCTGCGTCTGTATTTATGAAAATTCATAAAACCGGCCGTTTATTCTTAAGAGTTACACACGAGTAGGAATAAACACGATGCGAGACTGGTTAGTTACGTGGCGCGATGGCCGGTGACGTTCGCAGCTGGAGGCGGTCAACGGAGAAGCTGGGTCGCTCTCGGAGAGGGTGTGAGTGAGTGTCTGAGGTGAGGGATCGAGAGGTGTGAGTGAGCTTGGGTGAGGGCCAAGCTGGGTCGCTTCGGAGAGGGTGTGAGTTGACATGAGGTCAAGCTGGGTCGCTCTCGGAGAGGGTGTGAGTGAGTGCCTGAGGGTGAGGGCCAAGCTGGGTCGCTCTCGAGGAAGTTGACGGTCGCTCTCGAGTTGAGTCTCGTGAGCCAAGCTGGGGTCCGCTCTGAGTGAGTTGGCTGAGGGTGAAGAGCTGAGAGGCCGGAAGCTGGTCGCTCTCGGAGGAGGAGTGTCTGAGTGCCTGAGGGTGAGCTGGGTCGCTCTCGTGAGGGAGGTGCGAGTGATGAGGGTGAAGCTGGGTCGCTGTCGGAGAGGGTGTGAGTGAGTGTCTGAGGGTGAGGGCCAAGCTGGGTCGCTCTCGGAGAGGGTGTGAGTGAGTGTCTGAGTGTGAGGGCCAAGCTGGGTCGCTCTCGGAGAGGGTGTGAGTGAGTGCCTGAGGGGTGAGGCCAAGCTGGTCGCTGTCGGAGAGGGTGTGAGTGAGTGCCTGAGGTGAGGGCCAAGCTGGGGTCGCTGTCGGAGAGGTCTGTGAGTGAGTGTTCTGAGTGTGAGGGCCAAGTGGGTCGCTCTCGGAGAGGTGTGAGTGAGTGCCTTGAGGGTGAGGGCCAAGCTGGGTCGCTCTCGGAGAGGGTGTGAGTGGAGTGCCTGAGGGGGAGGGCCAAGTTGGGTCCGCTCTCGGAGAGGGTGTGAGTGAGTGCCTGAGTGTGAGGGCCAAGCTGGGTCGCTGTCGGAGAGGTGTGAGTGAGTGCCTGAGGTGAGGGCCAAGGTGAGCCAAGCTGGTCGCTCTCGGAGAGGGTGTGAGTGAGTGCCTGAGGGTGAGGGCCAAGCTGGGTCGCTCTCGGAGAGGGTGTTTGTGACTGAGGGTGAGTGGCCAACTGGTCCTGTCAGAGTCTGCTGGTCGCTGAGGGTGATGAGCCGGCTGTCTCGGAGAGGGTGTGAGTGAGTGTGAGGAGGCCAAGCTCCTGAGTGCCGAGTGTGCCCAAGCTGGTCGCTGTCCTGTGTCCTGTCGTGTGAAGGGCACTGGAGTTCGCTACCTCGCGAGGGTGGTGAGTGAGTGCTGGGTGTAAGGGCCAAAGCTGGGTCGCTCTCGGAGAGGGTGTGAGTGAGTGCCTGAGGGGGAGGGCCAAGTTCGGGTCGCTCTCGAGAGGGTGTGAGTGAGTGCTGAGGGGTGGAGGGCCAAGGGGGTCGCTCTCTCGAGGAGAAGTGCGAGTGAGTGCCTGAGAGGTGAAGGGCCCAACTGTCGCTCTCGGAGACGGGT